CTCAGACTCATCAAATTCCATACTATCCTTTTCAGGATGCTTTTCTTAAATCAATATTCGGTTGATAGAATCCCAATTAGTTTCTTCTTAGAATACCCCAAAATCCAAATTGAAATCTGGACGATCTTTTCTGAATGTGATCGAGGTCATTTCAAGCTGACTCTTCTCATGAGGTCAGGCTAAATCATTCTACGCATAAACAACTTTAAATCAGTTTCTCATGAGATTTTCATCAGGTTTCATTTGAGGTTTCAGTCGAGGCTGACTTCCTATTTATGATTTGACTCAGGCGACCTGAGGGAATTTTCCACCCGGATGGGGCGAGGAACTGGAGACCAAAGGCATTGAGGGAGCGATAGAAGTAGAGTGAGGCATTTAAAGACTTGAAAAAAGTGAGAGTAACGAGAGACTGTTGTCCTACCAATGATCATATTGCCGTTGGCGTCATCGTGAACTTCTGGGGTGCGATGTGGGCGTGCGGTTGGCGGCCTTTGAAGGCCTTCATTCTTCTAGGCATCCCTGGCCTAGTTAACCGATACTCTCCGGTCAATGAATTCTCACTTGATATCTGCCGTTACTTTTACCATTTTTCATAAACTTAGCATGACGCATTGCCTGTGGTATCCGGAAAATCATATTTTTAAAGAAACTGTACAAATGTCCATAAATACCGAGCGAGTTATTTTTACGGACGACGAAATGAGTTACGAATCATTTTCGAGGCTTTTTATGTTAGACTATATTAATTGTATTTTTTCTTGTTTCATGTTACTTAAGATTGTTTATTTGTTTTGCAGGGGTGCCTTCTCAGTGGTCCGGAGATGCGTACAAAAAAGCACGGGCCTCGAGTTTGCAGCAAAAGTCATAAACACCAAAAAATTATCGCAAAGAGGTGAGTTATTGAAATCTGTAATCGATTTTTTCTAATTAGTTCTTGTAATTATTGAAAAAATTCACATGATATTATAAAAAGTTTGTACTTATAAACAATGTCATTTAACGGAGAGGGGTACAAAATGCGAAAGCCCAAGAGAGTGTACATCCTGAATAAATAATTATTATTAGTTTTTGCGATAGAGAGTTTTTGGGGAAATTAATCGGCATCCATGTCTCGACTCAAAATAGTAATCATTTTCTCTAGAAGAAATTTCAATTCAAAATTGAGTACATCGACTTCTACATAAAATAATTCTTTGACCGAATATAAATTCACACGTTCAATATTGATTGTTCTCAATATTCAATAAAAAAATGTACGTCAATATCAATATTGGATGAATCTCGAGTTGCCCCTCCAGTGTATATTTATTCCTGTGTCATTTCAATTCACCGTTTGTACAGTGATAAATAAACCGCAATTGTTTACGACTACAGGTGCTTAATGTCGTAAAATATGATTATTGCCGTCTTCTGAGTGGGCATCGTGACAAAATGAAAATGAACCCAACGAACCAAAAAATCTTCTAGATTCCAGATGTAAAAACAAACAATATAGTTGGGAAATTGTAAATACACCAGAGGGATAGTTTTAACTGAGGTGAAGTCGGAGTTTATCGAGATTATGTGGAATTATCTAGGTGATTTGAATCTGGGTATATTGCCGGTTTATCCCAGACTAGCTCGTGAAAACTCAACGAATTATCCGCGGCGTCGTCGTCTGCTAAAGTCTAAAAACAACAAGCAACCAAGTTGACATTTTGCCAAGATTCCATCGGGAGTTACGATGATTTTACACGGAACCTAAAACTTTTAATAAAATTTCAGGAAAATGGGAAAACAAAAACAATTATATTAGCATATTTCTTTTAATTGCTTTGATTATTTCCCTCAGGTTTGCACGCTTGTTTTTTCAATTTGAGCACTTTTTTGTCCTTGGATAAAAATAGTTGCTCTATTAGATAGGCTTATTTATATCGCACTTATCCAAAGGGATTTTTTTCCTTCGTTAGATAGAAAGTCATGTGAAAGTGTGAAGCCAAAGGAGTGTTATAATCGCATCAATCAAAATAGTGCAGATGCGGTTTATCCGATAAATGACATCGTCAACGTCTTGTCGTGATTAATCGAATTAGTTGCCTATGAGATTTTGAGTAGAGAGATGAATAATGAGTATTTAACCTTTTAATTTTCATTTCCATTTCGCTTAGTAGTTCCAAAAATTGTGCCAAAAAATCATCATTGAAAAAAAAGTACCGAGTGAACGCATACGTTTCTGATTGAAATGTGCCAGGAAGTTGTTTTCGTTAGCAACCGACTTGATGCTTGAAATTGCCAATTTATAGCACTATAAACGCTCATTTCTCGACATTATATTCGCAATATACACTTGAATCAATCAAGCAGATAACGCTATTCTCAAATGTATGCATTTTATTGACTACTATTGACTCGAGTCATTTCGGATTTGAATCAAGGAAAGAACAATTGAATGACGGTCAATCACGTAAATACACTTGACCGATTCTTTTTGTTGTGAGTGTTAGGAGGTCTGTTCTAAATTTTCAAAACAATCCCCAGAAATATAATACAATAATCATTAAATCACCTCAATGAACCCAACTATTGTTTCTCCTATCCACTAATTAAGTCAATAGAACCACACGACCCATTTATTTCCACTCGAGTGACTCCCCTCAACACAATATAACTAGGTCAATAACAATTGCATGCATGAAGGACTCAATTCCTCGAATCATTGGACAGTTCCGCGAAATTCGTTTCAAAAAGCACAAAGGGAGAACAGAATAAATAAACCCTATGGCTTTGAGTTTTAGTATGTTGGAGTGCAAGGTACCTGTAATGTTGTTCTTGTTGTTTTTGAGGGGTGGCAAAACAGAAAAGGCGCTGACCAACCCCAACAATGGCGTCGACTATCTGATAAACAAACGAAAAGAGCTATCCCACCCTTTTTTCACCTCTCTACGCTTTTTTATTCTCTCACCGAGCCTTTTGTTTGTGTGAGGCTTCAGGGATGATTGGGGAGTGGTAATCCTGTTGCGTGTCCCTTTGAATCTTGATTGTGTTGGGAATTTCTCGTGACTAGAGGTCACGCACGCTAATCGCCTGTGGAACGCGTCTGATCGTGTCAATTGGCCGTGATGATTAACGCAGTGTCAACTCGACATTTTTTCCGACTAATTTCTCAAGATAAGAAATGGCGAAAAAATTAATTATGGTAATTATTGCATTAAGAGATTAAAGAAAATGACCTAGAATCGACTATTTTTCATTCCGATTCGGAGCTTTGTACTGGCTTTTCTTTTAGATTTGCTCATCCTGCATGGAAAACAGTATATATGCGAAATATATATTAATTATACCCCCATATAACTCTGCAAAAAATTCAATATGTCCCGTAAATGTACCATACAATTATTAGCATGTATATTTTTTTCGTGAGACTCTCATAGAGAATTATTATAATTAAATAAATTGGGTGGTACCAGATGGTATGACCTTAGTAGGTCGTTTAACAACCCTTCCCATTACCTACGCGGTATCTCAGCCTAATTGCCTATCCGCACTGTCCTTTACTTAACCTATAACTAAACTTCTACCTTCTAATATCATAACTAAATTTTCCACCTTCGGAATTCAAAACTGCGCTACTGCCACGCATAAGACCAGCACGCTGATACGAGCCCAAAGCCGTAGATAAAGAATTATTATTATTTTATTATTATTTATATTTTTTATTATCATTTTTTTATGTATTATTATCCCGTTTAAAAAATAGCATGTAACGTTTTTTGTCAGCTTTGTTTGGCGCATAGCTAAGGTATGCATATTATATGCATAATATATTATATATATTATATATATATATATTAATTAAAAATTTATATATAATTGTTTATTATTGTTATAATTTGTATATAATTTGTTTATATATTGAAAATTGTTATATTCAAGATTCTTTTAATATTCAGATTTTATATGAAGATTTTATATGATAATACCCCATACATGTAAGCATGGGGGCGCATAGCGCGCCGTATACACTAGTTATTATTATTTGTATTTTTATTTTTTCTTTTATGAAGTTATGACGCTTCGAACATGAAGATGTGATTTTTATGTTTTACCTAAATTTCCACTTTTGTTTAATTCTTCTATATCTTCGTAGCACATGAATATTTATGTATCATTTGTGCCATCTCACCCCCAACTATATTCGAAGATTTTCTTTTTATTTTTACAATCTAAAAAATAGGAGATTTTTTACTATAACTTTTTTCACTACTACAACAAATGCATTCACAAGAATTCAGAATTCATTTTTCTGGTTCTGGTAGATTTTTCCATGGGCTATTTTTACCATTTTTTTCCATGGGCTATTTTTACCAATTTTTTCCATTGGCTATTTATTCGAAATTAATCATGTCTGGGCCATTTTCTCCGGATCTCTTCTTCCATGGACTATTTCTTCTACTTCTCTTCAGAGGTACAATTAAAAAAATTTCATTGAACAACAATGAAACTTACAAATTGTATACTTTTTCGTATCCATCTGATCAACAGTTTGTCAGAATTCTATAAAAAAAGTACGAAAAGTGGTGGGCAGACAGTAATATATTCTTAACCACGAAAATATCTCGAATTTCTCAAAATTTCAGCAGCAAAACACAATAATTCAATATAAAGACTATCTGTATTAACGTACAACGATATTCTTTGGGTCAAATATTGAAAAGTTATAACACCAAAGACAAACTATCCCTTGGAGTTAAAAAGAAGTAGATAACAATCGTAAAAAGTTTCCTATTCAGTTCGCCGCATTCTGAGAATTAAAGGAATTTTTTTTCCGAACTAGAATACAGTGTCTCTTGATAAAAACATTATATTGAACATTTCCTTGAAAATAGAGACGTCAAAGTGAATGGAGGAATCCTCTTTGAGCATGAATAGCATCAATATACCTAGAAGCACCTGGAGACTGTCAAATGGATATGAATTGCGCAGTAGAGTGCTAAAAAACGTACCAGAAAAATTCAATCTTTTTCGACAAATATAAAATCGATTATAATAAATCCATATCAAAAGAAATATTGTGCACTAATTCCGTTGAGTCGATGCATTCACCATCGTCTTTCGAGTCTTCTCTCAATGGACATGGAAATCCTGAAGCCTCGACTGATTTTGTCAGTCGAGAAAAAAATATATATTTCAATATTAAGCATATTTTGTACTTAATTCAAATATATATGTCATACTTGATTGTAGTATATTCTATTTTTAATGTGGTGTATAATTTTAATTATTTTCAACAGTTTTTGGAAACATCATTTCAATCCTCCCGTCTCACATTGAAAATATGTGTGTTAATAATTATCTATGACATATTGCATTTTTGATCCGAATATATGTACGTATAATCGATGCGAATTCTACATACACTGAGAAAAAATTCTCTCAAAATTTAGTGTACCTTTTCACCAACGCTGGGACGTAACATGGGGTGTACAAGGAAATAGAGGGAGACATTGGACAAAATGGTATGCCTCACTCAAAAATCCGTATGTGGCACCCTAATTTTTGAGAGGCACACTGAGAAAAAAAATTATTTTTGCCAAGAATATTTTTTTCCTACTAGTAAATCTGGGGATCACTGTGTAAATGCTCCCATAAGACTTACTAATGCCAAATATATTTTCTTGTGGTTAGTAAATATTCTTGGCTAAAGAAAATTTTTTTCTCAGTGCATGCACTACTTTTTCATGCGTTTTCTCCAGTTTCTCATGTGACCCTTCCGAAAAAATGAGTCAGCAGCATTTCAATTTCTCATTGATGGAGTACACTGATTTTTAGGGAAGGTTCTTACTAATTTTAAATGGAATTTTTTCTCCGTGTATGTCTCCGTTTTCAATGTACGGATTCTTCCGTAAATTTGTT